TACTGTGCAATGACAACGCACCCTTCTCAGCGCTCGTACTGTGCAATGACAACGCACTCTTCTCAGCGCTCTCGTACTGTGCAATGACAACACCCTTCTCAGCGCTCTCGTACTGTGCAATGACAACGCACCCTTTTCAGCGCTCTTGTACTGTGCAATGACAACGCACCCTTCTCAGCGCTCTCGTACTGTGCAATGACAACGCACTCTTCTCAGGGCTCTCGTACTGTGCAATGACAACACCCTTCTCAGCGCTCTCGTACTGTGCAATGACAACGCACTCTTCTCAGGGCTCTCGTACTGTGCAATGACAAAGCACTCTTCTCAGGGCTCTTGTACTGTGCAATGACAACGCACCCTTCTCAGCGCTCTCGTACTGTGCAATGACAACGCACCCTTCTCAGCGCTCTCGTACTGTGCAATGACAACACCCTTCTCAGGGCTCTTGTACTGTGCAATGACAACGCACTCTTCTCAGGGCTCTCGTACTGTGCAATGACAACGCACCCTTCTCAGCGCTCTCGTACTGTGCAATGACAACACCCTTCTCAGCGCTCTCGTACTGTGCAATGACAACGCACTCTTCTCAGGGATCTTGTACTGTGCAATGACAACGCACTCTTCTCAGGGCTCTTGTACTGTGCAATGACAACGCACTCTTCTCAGGGCTCTCGTACTGTGCAATGACAACACCCTTCTCAGCGCTCTCGTACTGTGCAATGACAACGCACCCTTTTCAGCGCTCTTGTACTGTGCAATGACAACGCACCCTTCTCAGCGCTCTCGTACTGTGCAATGACAACGCACTCTTCTCAGGGCTCTCGTACTGTGCAATGACAACACCCTTCTCAGCGCTCTCGTACTGTGCAATGACAAAGCACTCTTCTCAGGGCTCTTGTACTGTGCAATGACAACGCACCCTTCTCAGCGCTCTCGTACAGTGCAATGACAACGCACCCTTCTCAGCGCTCTCGTACTGTGCAATGACAACGCACCCTTTTCAGCGCTCTTGTACTGTGCAATGACAACGCACTCTTCTCAGGGCTCTTGTACTGTGCAATGACAACGCACCCTTCTCAGCGCTCTCGTACTGTGCAATGACAACGCACCCTTCTCAGCGCTCTCGTACTGTGCAATGACAACGCACCCTTTTCAGCGCTCTTGTACTGTGCAATGACAACGCACCCTTCTCAGCGCTCTCGTACTGTGCAATGACAACGCACCCTTTTCAGCGCTCTCGTACTGTGCAATGACAAAGCACTCTTCTCAGGGCTCTTGTACTGTGCAATGACAACGCACCCTTCTCAGCGCTCTCGTACTGTGCAATGACAACGCACCCTTCTCAGCGCTCTCGTACTGTGCAATGACAACGCACCCTTTTCAGCGCTCTCGTACTGTGCAATGACAACGCACTCTTCTCAGGGCTCTCGTACTGTGCAATGACAACACCCTTCTCAGCGCTCTCGTACTGTGCAATGACAACGCACTCTTCTCAGGGCTCTCGTACTGTGCAATGACAAAGCACTCTTCTCAGGGCTCTTGTACTGTGCAATGACAACGCACCCTTCTCAGCGCTCTCGTACTGTGCAATGACAACGCACCCTTCTCAGCGCTCTCGTACTGTGCAATGACAACACCCTTCTCAGCGCTCTCGTACTGTGCAATGACAACGCACTCTTCTCAGGGCTCTTGTACTGTGCAATGACAACGCACTCTTCTCAGGGCTCTCGTACTGTGCAATGACAACGCACCCTTCTCAGCGCTCTCGTACTGTGCAATGACAACGCACCCTTCTCAGCGCTCTCGTACTGTGCAATGACAACGCACTCTTCTCAGCGCTCTCGTACTGTGCAATGACAACGCACTCTTCTCAGCGCTCTCGTACTGTGCAATGACAGCGCACTCTTCTCAGTGCTCTCGTACTGTGCAATGACAACGCACTCTTCTCAGTGCTCTCGTACTGTGCAATGACAACGCACTCTTCTCAGCGCTCTCGTACTGTGCAATGACAACGCACTCTTCTCAGGGCTCTCGTACTGTGCAATGACAACGCACTCTTCTCAGTGCTCTCGTACTGTGCAATGACAACGCACTCTTCTCAGGGCTCTTGTACTGTGCAATGACAACGCACTCTTCTCAGGGCTCTCGTACTGTGCAATGACAAAGCACTCTTCTCAGGGCTCTCGTACTGTGCAATGACAACGCACTCTTCTCAGCGCTCTCGTACTGTGCAATGACAAAGCACTCTTCTCAGCGCTCTCGTACTGTGCAATGACAACGCACTCTTCTCAGGGCTCTCGTACTGTGCAATGACAACGCACCCTTCTCAGCGCTCTCGTACTGTGCAATGACAACGCACTCTTCTCAGGGCTCTCGTACTGTGCAATGACAACGCACTCTTCTCAGGCCATCCTTAAAAATATTTTGGTTTGCAGTAACAGCAAAAAAAAAAAAAAAAAGGGTCGGTAGGTAGGTCTATATTTTTTTTTTTCAAGATTCAATGTAAAAAAAAAAGGATAATTTTGGTCATGGTGATTAGGTCGGTATGAATTTAAACAAATTTGCATATCGTGACGCCACTGACTGGGTCTTCAACCCCCATGCCTTCGGGCGCACCATTGCGAACCTCATTCTGATACAGGTTATAGACCACAAACAATTTGAAATCTTTGTAAAAAAAAAAACATATTTATTGCATTAATTCCAGCTGCATTCATTTGGAAAAAAAATAGGCAGAATAAAAAAAAAAGAAAAAAAAAGGAGCCACTAGATTTCAATGAAAGTGGATTTTCAGAGGGAAACAAATAAATTAAAATGACTAATCTCACCAGCGCCGCGCCGACCAATAAAACAGCGCGTTTGGCACCATTCGTTTACATTTGACCCATACTGTTACAAGCCCCCTTTCTGGTCTAGGGGCAGGAAAGGAGGGTAACAAAAAGTTGCAGGGAGAGAGTGAGAGATTTGACCCATAAACATCTGCTATTATTAACGGAAATCAGTGTGGTCAAATAGCTAGGCGCATTGTAGGAAACTATAGGCCGATTAAGTAGTCCTGACATATTATGGAATGGTCGATTTTCTTTTGTGCAATTTAGTACATTTCGGTATGGGATGTGCTGTTTTATTGGTCAGCGCGGCGCTGGTGAGATTAGTTCGCGCCGCACTGACCATTGGCTGGCGCAAGCAAACACTTCTCCTGCGCTGTCGAGTCTGACGCGCTCGCGCGTCTCGGTCCATTGAGCCACGCAGATTACAAGTCAGCGCAGCGCGAACTCTGTAACACACCGCGCCGTTTGTCCCACTTTCGGTGTGTTTGGCTTCCCACACTTATGTGTGTTTGTTTGTCAGAGCCTGCAGTTGCTGTTGTGACGAGCGTACGCGGTGGGCATATCGTGACGAGCTGGACGGGCTCCGAGAAAAGGCCGTTAACATTTGATCATTAAGAATTTCGAATAATGAGCGCCTAAATGTAGGCTCATACAGACGTATTTCACAAGCAGCCGCGCCGCAGCCATCATCACCGAGCGCGAACCATTGACAGTGAATGAAACGAAGCGAACGCACAGGCCATAGTGTGACATGCGTAACCAATTGTGTAAACATAATCATAATAGATGACGCCACGGGTTTTTATTTAAAAGAAAGAACGTAGCCTACGCAATTTATATTCACAATACTTACTATAATAAATGTATATTATTTTATTGCATTTGTATTAGTTGTTTGAAGAGTAAAAAAAAAATCGGTCGGTCTTAATGCAAGTTTACAACCGACAAGTCGGTCGGACTAAAAAAAAAAAAAAAAAAAAAATTGGGTCGGCCCTAATTTGACAGGGTCGGTCGGGTTACGGCAAACAAGAATATTTTTAAGGATGGCCTCAGCGCTCTCGTACTGTGCAATGACAGCGCACCCTTCTCAGCGCTCTCGTACTGTGCAATGACAACGCACCCTTCTCAGCGCTCTCAGCCCACCCTTCTCCAGCAACGGACACAACCCGGAAAAACTGTCGGTATGGATTTCTGCCGATAAAGATAGTTCCACCAATCAACTATCATTACCGATATATCGGCAAAACCGATGAATTGGTCGACCTCTAGTCACAGTTCAATGCAAGATTTACAAACAGACTTTTACTTAAAGATACGGACCTGACTGTAATGCCGCATCATGGGGGGTTTTGGTATTTACTAGTTTGGGGGAACAGACACAGTCTCTATGTTATGATATCTAAGTGAAAGAGTCTCTACATTGGGTTCTAACGCCCCAGTAAAGTGATGGGGACACTATACTGTCAAAGAGCACCGTCCTTCGGATGAGACGTTAAACCGAGCTCCTGACTCTCTGTGTTCACAAAAAATCCCAGGATGTCTTTCGAAACGAGAAGGGGTGTAACCCCGGCATCCTGGCCAAATTTGCCCAGTGGCCTCTGTCCATCATGGCCTCCTAATCATCCCCTATATATATATATATATATATATATACTAATTGGCTTCATTACTCTGTTACCTCTCCAACAATAAGCTGGTGTGTGGTGGGCGTTCTTGCGCAATATGGCTGCCGTCGCATCATCCAGGTGGATGCTGCACATTGGTGGTGGTTGAGGAGATTCCCCCCTTCCATGTAAAGCGCTTTGAGTGCCTAGAAAAGCTCTATATAAATGTAATAAATTATTATTATTATTACATGACATTGAGAGATTTATTTGACTTCTGTGACGTGAGACAGCTAGCAGATGGTCAGTTTAGCCAGTCTGCCTGCTTCCTGACCTGGGCCACAGTTAGTCAAATGCCAGCTCTAAGACTATTGAGTGATGACAGTCTATTATGTATCTTGTCGCCATGGTAAGCGGGGAGGGTGCCAGTGTCTGACATCGTACTTGCAGGCTCATAGACCTCTTTAATGTTATTTTTAGTGATGCCTGACTGATGCAGTCGGATATCATTTGTGCCAACTTGATAACAATTTTACTGAATTACGTTTCGCAAATGAGCATTAGTGGTGTTTTTGTATGGTGTTATTTTAGGGCTGGGAGGATGCTAAGAGACAGGGTGGCAGGTTTGAGAGGGAATACTGCTGGGAAAACTTCCTGTCTGCAAACACGCTACAGGTCAGTGTGCACTCTACCAATCAAACATTAGTTAAACATAATAGACGAAATTGACCTTTTGATATGCACTTGATAAATGGAAACCCATTTTGCTCCTTCCCACCAGATGCTTCAGAATATGAAGGGTCAGTTTGCGGAGCATCTTTTGGCAGCTGGCTTTGTGAATAGTAAGGACCCTAAAGATTGCAGCTCTAACATCAACTCAGGTACTTTGCCTAGACTCTTCGACTGCCATTTACACTTGTACCTTTAAAGATTTGAGCTGTCTGAGAGTGCTGATTTTTGAGGAGCGATGAGCTACTATTTTTCTAACCAAAATCCAAACATGATGTTGACACCAATGTTCCCTGTAATTTTTTTTTCTTCCTGAGCAAAACTTTTTTCTATTGGGCGGACATTTTTCGCCACCTGAGCAAAAATATTCTTTATACCTGACCTGTACAGCATACGTAGAAACACAATGGTTTCAACATTCAGTTGTAACTTTTAACTTGAATGTGCCATTTCTATTTTTATTTGACCCTTGATGTAACTTATTGGTATTAAATCATATTTTCGAAAACAAGCTTCTTAACAAATTAAGAAGTCACTAAATGAAGCACATTTTAGGTTACCTGATTTTTTTTTTACAGTGCTGTTAACTGTACAGTCTTTGCCAAGAAATCCTATGAAAAATAATTTACAAAATCTTCTGCAGGACAGTTCAATTCTTTACAATAATAGAATATAGTATGAAAGAAAAGTAAGCTGTTGCACTGAGATGGTTTGGGAAAACCATAAAGTGTTTTTGTACAGTCAATTAATTGTGTACAGGAAGCATTAAACCATCAAAGTTAAATGATTGTTTATTGCTTATGAATTTCCAATATTTTCTTTAGCAGGGGGTTTCAAACTTTTTAATGGCAAGGAGCCCTAAACAATACCCTTGTGAGATTCTTTATTTAGGCTTATAATATAATAAAATATAGGCCTAATATAACCTAAACAATACCCTTGTGAGATTCTTTATTTAGGCTTATAATTAGGGCTGGGCAAGTCAACGCGTTATTATCGCGTTAACGCATTTATTAATTAATGCCAACAATTTTTTTTATCGCACGTTATCGCAGTTTTTTTAATTATTATTTTGAAAGTCCGTTGCTCACTGGCTCTGAATACACATAGGCCTACAGTCAAACCATGGATCAGGGGTGGGATGTTGGTCAGCCAGCAAATAACCCACCCAAACAAGCAGTGGAGGGGCTTTGGCAGGTTCTCTCAGGTGAACAGAAAGGGAGACAGCGCTCCACGAGTGAATGACAGGCGCTCTGGATAGTAACCATGGCAACGGCTTCTGTGCGCTACGCAGCTGTAGCCTTTTTAACTTAAATTAAAATTATACATAACTTTACCTGATAGGCCTGCGTTTAGTTTAGCGGAGATGCTCTGCCATGTAAATTCCATCCTGTTGATGACGTCCTGATAACTATTTAGATTGTGGAAACTCACAAACAGCGAGCCGAGAATCAGTCTCTATTCCAATGATTTGTGCTGCGCGTCATGTAGCTACAAAAAGTTAGGCTGTAGACAATTCAACTTCGGCAACAGGAGGGCGCGGGCGCGTGCGTGAGACGAGCATGACCGCAACAGTTTCACAGGAACGCACCCGCTTGTCGCTGCACCTGTGCTCGACTACTTCACCTCACTCTAGTCTAGGCTGATTTATAATTCTGCGTCGGATCTACGCCGGAGCCTCTACGCTATAGACATAGTTGGTTTTTATTTATACTTCTGCGTCGTTGCCCCCCTTGACTCGCAATTACACATGCAGAGGGAGGGAGCGGTTCTAGCAATCACAGCGCTTGCGGCGTAGAATTGACGCATTGTTACATTTTTGGAGAGGTGCACGTCAGGGTACGCGCGCTACACACAGCAGGTAGGCCTACGTAGCTACGGCGTGAGTTCGACGCAGAAGTATAAATTGGGCTTTACATCTGTTTAATGTAATCTTAGTGTACGTGGGAAACCATGTCATGACCAAACCTAAGCTACTATCAGAGAAGTAACGTTGGTCGACTTATATCTGTAGTAGTGGTCATGACCTCTGACTACATAGACTGTTTCTGCTGCTCCCTGATAAAAGATACCTGTTGAGAAAAAAAAAAACAAGAAAACTGGACTCGTTTTAACAAGCTAGATAAAAGGTAATGCCCTGGCAGTGGCATAGCATTTGATTTGATTACATTAATGTTTAAGTTGAGATTTACAATAAATATTTTATTGCTACTGTGTAAAGGGAATACTGCTGGTATAAAGCACCTTATTTGTTTAAAGTTTTTGCAAACCACGTTATTGCACTTTTGTGTAGCAGTACATTTAAATCAAAAGTGCGCAATACACTACTTTAGAATTCATTATTCACTCTTGCGCGTAACAATGCGTTTAATCGCAATAAATTCATGCGATTAATCGCGATTAAAATTTTTAATCGTTGCCCAGCACTACTTATAATATAATAAAATATAGGCCTAATATAATATAATATTAAAAAAACGAATTGAAGTATTTGAAGTGATATAATATAGTTTAAATGCTTCAATTTGTTTACATATTATATTATTATTATAATATGAAGACAAACTGAAGCATTTAAATAGATCTAATAGCTAAATATTTTCAAGAAAAGTGAATGTGAACTCTTTTATAATCTAACCATCCCTGAAACTCCCCCACACACAAAAACATCTATTTAAACTAATGATGTATTTTGAATTTGCACGCAGGTGGGTGTGTAATTGTTACCGTTCTGTGTCCATCAACCGTTATTTCCACCACTTTAATCAAACCACTCTTCGTTAAAACATTATGTGATTTTATTTCACATGTCTTTGCGTTTCTCGTTGCCTCTCGTATTGAGCTATTTGGTCCGCACACACGACTCACTGCCAATCAAACGCGCTCACATCATTCTTTTTCTATGAAACCTGTAAACTGCATTCACCAGTTTTCACTCTATAGCGGTTGACCAGAGCACTGAAATTATTTCTCACTTAAACTACAAATGGATTTCCCCACACATTTCGCGTCAGTCCTCTGCGTGACATTTTATTCTTTTCTGCGCGGCCGCCGCTTCAGAAGTGCGCGGCCGAGGCATCAGAAGTGCGCGGCCGCGCACGTGCGCAGCTTAGAGGGAACATTGGTTGACACTATTGATCCCAGAAAAATATTTAGGTAACACTTCACAAAAAGATTCCATTTAATAACATTACTTAATGCATTTGTATTGTGTACGACAATTTTTTCAAAAATGAAATTACACGTCATCCAGCATTTTATATCTTTAAGACACTGTCAATTTAGATAAGTTAGTGTTTTCATCTGGTCGTGATGAAATATATAATTGAGTGTCATCGGCATAACAGTGGAAATTAATTCCATGTTTTCTTATAATATTACCAAGTGGCAGCATATATATTGAGAATAGCAGAGGGCCTAACACCGATCCTTGCGGCACTCCATAGTCTACTGACGTTATCTTCTATTTTTCCCCATTTAAACAGACAAAATGGTAACGGTCTGATAAGTACGATCTAAACCAGCTTAATGCCTGTCCCTGAAAACCAGTGTAGTTTTGTAGTCGATCCAAGAGTATTTTATGATCTATAGTGTCGAACATTATTTGACTTGAAATGTTAATATTTATGAGTTTATTAAAAAAAATTAACAGATTTAGAGTAATTAATGCTGTAAATGTCTAATCTAATTTTCCATGATATTTTGACATAAGAAATCATTGTACTATTAAAAACATGCAGAAAGTTTTAGAACACAAAAAAACACGATAGAGATGAATACAGTGGCAAAATACGGCCTGCACACAGATCAATGATGATTGACGTCATCATTACCTCTTTGACCTGCCCACTGGTGCGTTAGTGAATATGGACAGGCAAGAGAAATAACACAACATGATCAGTAAATAACTTTATCTTCCAAAGGGACTTAATGATAGGAAAGGGGTTGTTGTTTTGAAAGTATGTGAATATGTCAATAGAGCATTATTTGTCTGTTTGGTACTTTTCTCTGTGGATTCTTTGATAAACCAGTCACAATTTACAAACAGACTTACTGAAAGATATGGACCTGAAAGTAATGCCGCATCATGTATGTACAGTAGCAGTGTTCTATCGCCTAATCTGTGATAAATGATTTTACAACAAACAACGTCTGACTGTACAGGAGGGCTTACATACCAAAAATCATTGATTACTTTTTGTGTGTAGTAAATCAAGCCATTGACTAAATAGTCAAATTGACACTGTTACTCTCATGGAAATCATGTGTTATTTAAATTGTGGTAAGGTTATATAGAGAAAGAGCAAAGAAACACTCCCTTTAAGATCGCTGGAGCTGTTCAGTGACAGTGAGAGTTCTGTACTCTCGCCAAAACTCGCCTTATAATCAGAGCTGCTGTCTACACTGCACAATGAATCTCTAATTTACATTGTGTCCACATTGTGTTAGTTGTGATTGAGGAATTGTAAGTGTGAATACGAGATTCAATGGTGAGATGATTGGAATCGTGCGCTTAACAGCCATGATTGTGATCAGCTACAATGTTCAGCGATGCAACCTAAGGGAATAGATCTAAATATAATTCTTTAATCAACCTTTTTCACAATAAGTTAATCTCGGCAGATACAATTTTGATGTAAAAATTAGTTTCTAGCTGTTTTTCTCTCCGCTCTGTCTATCTTCCTATTCACATTTTTACATCTAACATAACCAATGTTCTTCATTATTTATGTTACTCAGAGAATGAGAAGCTGATTAAGGCAGTGATAGTAGCAGGACTGTACCCAAAAGTGGCCAAGATTCGCCCCAGCCATAGTAAGAAGAGACCGATGTAAGTGGCATGTATTTCTCCTATTGCTTGTTTTTTTAATGTTTATTTTGGATTATGTGCCCTCCATTCTTCAGTTCATTGATAGGCCTGAACCTCAATTGAATACTTACAGACTGTCACTAGCTGCGTTTCCATTACCCTTCAAACTGCGCAAATTGAAATTGAAAATACGCCAAATGGAAACACATCAATTTCTCCCATATATCGTTTTTTACTTTAAAAGTGTTTACACTCGCAGGAGGTGGTTGTTCAGGCAATTCGAAAAAGGAATATTTTGCTAAACTGCAACAGCTATGGAGATTATCAATCATCAATCTACTGATATTCCTGCCGCTCCAGGATGTCAAATGTTGAATTTTCTGTCGAATTTGAACCACTGAATTTATGGAAGCGAATTTGTAAAGCAAAATAAAATGGACTGTCAAAAAAACGCCGTCATTTCGCCATAGCTTTTTATCGACATTTAGAAAATATTCCAAAAGTTTTGTGCAAATCTGTAATGGAAACGCGGCTACTGATGGCATTATCCCAATTTAAGACATCTTCACAGACCTTTGTTCTGTTGTGAAAAATAAAGGGCAGAAAAGATGAAAAGCAATCTCAGATGAGAGAAACGGCATGAAAAGATCTGCATGTAATGTCTTCAGGAGAATATAACCTCATGTCACAGTGGTGGTTTGAAGATATCATTGTCATAACTCTCAGGAGGCATCCTGTTGTGGCGTTTGATTTCAGCTTTAATGCACACAAAGTGCATCAGCGCTCTTTCACAGCCCTACTGCTGCACACCTCCTTCACGCCACTGTATACACCACTTCACTCTGTCCGCTCTTCACACGGCTTCCATTTAGCATCATTCTATTATTTATACGCCATTCTGCCTGTGATTTAAAACCTTTACACTAAGCCTAGCTCAATTTGTTACTGCTCTCACTGCTAGACTGACTATCAGTGTAAACTAAAGTCTGCTTAACATTTATATTGTAGTGAAACCTTATACCATTCAAATGTTTCTTTTTTGCTCATCAAGGCTGTATTTATTTGATCAAAAATACAGTAAAAACAATATTGTGAGATATTATTGCAATTTAAGATAAACAGTTTTCTATACAATATATTTAAAAATGTAATTTATTCCTGTTATGGCAAGCTGAATTTTCAGCATCATTACCAATCATGATCCTTTAGAAATCATTCTAATATGCTGATTTGGTGCTCATCAAACATATCTTATTATCAATGTTGAAAATGTTGAATGAAAATTACTCCATGATTTACTGACCCTCACGCCATCCTAGGTGTATATGACTTTCTTCTTTCAGACGAATACATTAAGAGTTATATTAAAAAATATCCTGGCTCTTCCAAGTTTTATAATGGCAGTGGATTGCAACCAACAGATTGAAGCTCAAAAACGTGCATCCATCCATCCATCATAAACGAACTTCACGCGACTCTGGGGGGTTAATAAAGGCCTTCTGAAGCAAAACGATGAGTTTATAAAGTTTTAAATATTAAAGGGGTGGTTGATTATGATTTCACTTTTCTAAGTTTAGTTAGTGTGTAATGTTGCTGTTTGAGCATAAACAACATCTGCAAAGTTACAACGCTCAAAGTTCAAGGCAAAGGGAGATATTTGCTTTTAAAGAAATCGTTTTTTAAGGACTACAACAAACGGCTGGTAGGAACTACACGAGCTTCCTCCCGGGTTAGTGACATCACTAACCCTAAAATTTACATAAACCCAGCCCCCGGGAACACGCAGTCCATGTTGAGAAGAAGAGCTGTTGTAGTCAAGCACATTTGTGAGTCAGCTCAAACTGTAGCATCCGTCTTTTCACATGCAATAGAAAAGTCACTCTGTGTGCATCTCACAACAGTTCGAGCGATTTATAGATTATCCTGACAGAATATGCTAATTGAAGATAGTTAACTCCACATCAGCACCATAAATTCATCAACTAACCATTCAGAGATGTCCTGTTGCATTCTACATGTTGTCACATCTTCTTAGTCTCTCCATCTTTGTCTGACTCCGGTTTAAACATAAAAGGCAGAACAGTTTCTGACATTTTAGTGTGTGTCTGCTTAAGGTAATCGGAGCTGCTATAACACACACACTCTTGAAGCTCTGCCCACTGTTTCGGGAGCTGCAGCTCATTTGAATTTAAAGGGCCAGACACAAAACGGTGCCTTTTTGCTAACCCTCAAAAAGTGACAACTTTAACATGCTATATAAAAATATCTGTGGGGTATTTTGAGCTAAACCTTCACATACACACTCTGGGGACATCAGAGATTTATTTTACATCTTGTGAAAAGGGTATTATACCACCCCTTTAATATTTTTCTTACACAAAGTAAAATAACTAACTTCCGGCCAAACGAACATAAGTATAAAGCGCAGTTGGAGTTCGTTTATGATGGATGGATGAATTGCAATCCACTGCCATTATAAAACTTGGAAGAGCCAGGATATATTTTAATATAACTCCGATTGTATTCGTCTGAAAGAAGAAAGTCATATACTCCTAGGATGGCTTGAGGGTAAATTTGGGGTGAAATCATGGGGTAATTTTAATTTTAAAGTCAACTAATCCTTTAACACTTTTGTGGAAACCATGATTTATTTCAGGAATTCTTTGATGAATGGTGTAAGTGTAAATTAACAGCATTTATTTGAAATTATATAAGTTTTGATCAAAGTTCTGTCACTTTTTATCAATTTAATGCATCCTTGATTAATAAATGTTAATTATTTAAAAAAATCGTACTGACCCCGAACCTTTGAACGATAGTGTAAGTCTGTGATCAGAATTTCTGTCTTCCTAAAATAAGTACAGATTATTTAATTAAATTAACAACATTTCCGCTTACAACTTACACAAAAAAACTGCTGTGACGTTATTTGATTTTTTTTCCCCACCTCCTGGGTGGTTTATTATTGTTTCAATTATTTTGATAAACCTGCCCTAAAAGGCATGTATGACCAAAATTAACTATGGTTTGTTGCTTTACATAATATGGGGCATTTCAGTTTTTGAAAAATTCTTGAAATTGTGTGGTTTTGCAGGCCGGTGTACACTAAGGCTGATGGGAAAGTTTGTATCCACCCTAAATCTGTCAATGCGGAGGAAACTCAGTTCCACTACACATGGCTCATCTATCACCTGAAGATGAAGACCACCAGTGTATGTGCCTTTTTTAATTTTTTGTAATGTTTTTATCTTTGCTGACGAGTCAAATATTGAGGCTAAATTGTTACGTGTGTTCTGTTAATTTACTTTTCTATTGTTATTGTATTTGTATTGTATTTTATTGCAACACTTGTAGATAGAGCAGTGTTTCCCAACCGGGGTGCCTCGGCGATCCTGGTGTGCCGTCTGGCGAGAGCAGGGGTGCTGTGTAAAAATTCCTTCAAAAATGTTTCAATTGCTTAAAACTGTAAAAAAGTTTTTATTCTATACCATCATTCTCTGATGTCTCTAATAACAACAAATAACACATACATTCAAAAAAAAATGCAAACCATAAGAGCAGAGCCGGATTATCCATAACAGGGCTCTAGAGTGCGACCAAAATTTGTAAGGGTGCGACTAAATTTTTTCCTAGGTCGCACCAGTGCACCTAACGTTCTCGCATGATCGCATCCGTTGCCTCTCCACAAACGAGTCTTTTGTTCTCCTTGCACGCATGGTTGGATCATATCGTGGTCTAAACCAATCAGAGATAGAGATTGGGCGGGTCTTTGCCTCTGATTGGCTGTGGTTATGCTCCGTGCTGAAAATGCTCTAAAATGCTAAACTAAAATGATCCGTGCTGTGTGATTGAAATAAATTGCGACGTGAGCACCAGAGAATCAGTTACGGCAATCAGCAGCATCAGCTAAATAAACGCAAGAAAACAGACGACGAAGAAACTTTTAAAAATGTAGGCTACTTAAACTAGGGCTAGGTGAAAAATATTGATTTCTCGATTTTAATCGATTCTCATTTTTACGAACCGGTTGGGCTATGCTGTTTTCAGTTGATGAATGAATGGAACATTGTAGTGAGAATCCCATCCAATAAATCGCAATAATCTTTGTGCTTTGTTACTATTGATATGAAACAAAGTCTCAGATTTCAAATTAGGTCCATTTTCTTATGAAATTCAAAAACATAAATAGTGTGTTGAGTCGACGCTGTTGGGTGAGATCGCTCTGGCTCAGCTCAAGAGAAGCAGCAGCGCGGCGCGCACATGATCTCCTCTTCCGCCTTTACAATACCAGTTACAGCGCCAAATAAACATGAAAGAGCATCTGAAAGTGTGCTAAAAGATAGAGTACAACTTATCGAAATCCGTATCTTTCACATGTGTTTCAATGTGTTTCACATGTGTTTCAATGTCAATCAGTGTTTCAACCGTGGAAAGACGTCAGTAAAACGCTTGTAAACAATGTAATGTAACGTCACATTTAACTTACCTCAGAAAAAACATATCCAGTGACCATAAACTCGTTAGCTAGATAGAAAAATTAACTCTAGGGAGGAGCATTTTGCCAAATATATGCACCATATTGCATATTCATTATAATTTTTAATGTTTTTCAATATTTAATGCATGTTGTTTGAAAAAATCTGGCAAGTTTTTATGCAGCCACCATTTAAATGTTTATATTTCATATAACTTTATTATTATAAAAATAAATAAAAGTGTAATTTAAGTGTTTGTGTACAAATCAGGTAATTTTTACCTTCAATATTATAGTAGGCTAATGAAGCATAGTGGGCTACAACTGACTCCCAGTTTACAGCATTAGTTGAGATTTGTTTTTCTTGAGAAAATTTGCCATGTATTGTACCTGATATCCAAAATAATCAATATTGAATCGAATTGTGAAATTTGTGTCAATACCCTGCCCTAACTTGAACAATGTAAAAACAGCACTTTAAATGTTTTATTTTTTTTAAAGATTTATATTTTTATATACAGTATAATTGTGCTTAAAAAAAAAAAAACTACACCTTATTATTCTTATTCTTGTTTAAAAGCATTTACATAATTTAAATGAATGTATATGGAGCGTGATAAAAAGGTGACCTTGAAATTGTGGCGTTAAAGGCGACGTGAGACGAGGAAAAATTTTAGTGCACCTAAATTTTGTGCTGGTGCACCTAAATAAAAAAGTTAGGCGCACCAGTGCAACCAAGGCAAAAAGTTAGTCTGGAGCCCTGCATAAGGGCACTTGGGCCAGTGCCCAGGGGCACCAACGATTCACAACCACGAGGGGGGCACCACATGACACAAGCTTTAAAAATATTTTTCGTAAATTGTTATATTATTAACTTGAAATTCTTAAAAGACCATACATAACTCGTTTATGAACACTAATTTAACAATAATAATAATAATAATAAAAAATTATAAATAAATAAAGATTTATAAAAGAAGACCACTATCACTCCCCCCCTCCCGGACCCTCCCCAATCTGTCAGAGTTGAGTTGGTCCACAACAAGTACGCGCAAATGTGTCATTTTTTTAACGGCTACAGAAAATTAATCTAAATCCAAAATGGACAGATGTCAATTGAGTGGTTTTGCAAAAAGAAAGTTAAAGAAAGACAAGGACGCTAGACGTTTAGCTACAATTCAAAATGTTCCAGGGATTGAACGTTTTTTTGTGAGAACATCACTAGTTTCTGAGAACATCACAGGAATTGCGATCACTAGCAGTGCTGAGTCTGACGAAGCCGGGGGTATATTTTGAGGTATAGTGCCCAGGGGCACCACACTGTCTTAATACGGCCCTGCATAAGAGGGGTTGGTCTGAATTTTGGCGTGGGATTGCGCATAATTTTCATTCCCATGCACACACACAACGCTGCCTCTCAAACAGCTCGCGAGTGCCAAATGGATTTCTTTTTTGTGGCTTGTTGCTCTTAAACGGTCAAATACTAACACAAATATTGTCTTGTTGTGTATTTACATAAACACAGTCGGTTATGTCATATGTGAACGTAAACAGTTCAGAAATGCATGTTCAACAGTATATTGGATCTGTGCGTCAGGTCTTAAAGTGATGGTGAACTTGGTTGGCTTTTAAAGTTCCACAGAGGGTCCTGCCTTTGAGTTTTGGCTTGAGCAATGAGAAAAGTGCAATTCTCAAGCGGTACAAGTTCCTTTGTTTAAAAAGCTGACTCAAACTGCCAGCTTGCTCCAATCATGCAAATGTGTCCATTTATACTCTGATAAATATAACAAACACACACTGCATTCTATGAGAAGGTGAAGGTCTAGGAGAAGTCATTAACCCTCTGGGGACGGCAAACGTGCCGGCGCGTTTTGCTGTTTTTTTTTTCACATAGCAGCAACATAGACTTAAAATACTATGTCATTTATGGTCATATAAATAAAATCAATACATGATTATAAACTATAGAGGGTCTTCTTTTTTTGTGTACACTCACATTAACATCAAAACCTTGTGTTTTTTTTTTTAATAAATAAAATAAACAGGGTGCGCTTTCAGCTCACTCTGTCTCCACAAAAATCTTTCTGAAACATGTCTGGAAAATGAATTGAAACTCAGCTAATACTTATCACACAAACATGAAACATACGTCTAAAGAACGCTTTAAATTTCTACTTTTAAATAAAACAATTCACATTTAAAACAAATATTCTCCTGCAATGTAATCTGTATGAAACTAAAGAGAAGTACAGTTTCTCCTGTCTCAGCTCATTATCGTTAATTTGTTCACACCCACTCGCAGAGCGTGCTATTCATAAGATAGTGTGTTGAGGCCATATGCAAAATAGATAAACGCCCCCAGGCAAATGCTGTAAACTCTGTAAACACACTATATTTTTTAGTCAGATTAAGATTCGTCTTGCGCGGCTATGAGGAATAATCCTGGGACATTTACCACAGAAGTGCTGGTTTATTTTCACTTCGAGGAGGAGCAACAGATTCAGCTGAGAAGTGTAAGTGTTTTATGCTTGTGCTTTGTTCTAATCGCGATATAGAATAACGTTAGTGTCTGTAAACGGAAAAATAGCATACTGTTTTAAATGTGAATCATGTTTCTGTGTGTGTGTGTGTGTGTGTGTGTGTGTGTGTGTGTGTGTGTGTGTGTGTGTGTGTGTGTGTGTGTGTGTGTGTGTGTGTGTGTGTGTGTGTGTGTGTGTGTGTGTGTGTGTGTGTGTGTGTGTGTGTGTGTGTGTGTGTGTGTGTGTGTGTGTGAATGAATGAATGAATGAACGCACAGATACGCACTGTTACAGACGAAATAAAAGACAACATTTCGTTGACTAGTTTTGGATAACTTTTTATAAATCAAATAAGCATCAAATAAGCTTAAAAATTAAGACATCAAATAAGCTTTTGTTTGGAGTTTCTGCTCATATGTTAAATATATAGTATGTTTTGTCAATAAACCAATCAACTAAGATGTTTGTTACAATGCAAGCTATATCAAAATAATGAATCCTCAACTTTGAAATATGTATGATCAAACTAAGACATTTATGGAAAAAAACAATTTTCTTTTCAAGATGTTTCCAACTCTAACTTTGAACTTTGAACTGAAATAAAACCATGTCTATATGGTGAAGGGTGTGTGATAGAAGTGTCGAGACATATGCACCCTGTATTTTGTATTATTAATGTCCCTAAAGGTTGGAGTTTTCCTCATTTTTTAAATTAAGGCATTAAGATTTTTTATTCCTCTTTTTAGTCAACTTTAGCATGGGTGTGTTCACTTATTCTAAGCAGTGTGTGTGTGTGTGTGTATATATATAATTAAAAAAAAGCAATTTTAACCAGAAAAATCTACAATGCATGCCCAAAGTCGTGCAGCCATATAGTTTCTCTTGATATCAGCATGTTCACAGGTGTTTATTTATTTTTTTACAGGGACAAGATGCTACTGATGAGTCCTGCTGACTTCAACATTCACAGGAGACTACATGAACATGGTAAAATGAAAAATCAAACACCTTGGAAATGACAGGTATGTACTATGTTTCAGGAATGGGACAATGCTGTGTGACTGTGCAAGCCTCTGTCTTTAGATCAGTGTGTTTACTAATGTGCTTTTTTGTCTTTTGTTGTGTATCTTTGGATTATGTTGTGTTGTAAATAAATCCAAACAATCTAAAAGCCATTCTTTTTTAAATATCCTCATTCTTTGTGCAAGGCTCCTCATAATGATATGGCCTGATAGCACCTAATAGGGCCATTATGGGAGGGTCTTTGTCTTTCTCAGGTGTGAAATGCCATACATATTAATGAGAGATCACGCCTCCTCGCATAAAGCTTTCTCAAACAAAACACGTCATACACATTCTAAAAGACTATTGACTTATCTGAATGAGTAGTCAGGATGATTCTCACATAGTTTTGGAGCAAATATTCTAGACTATGTGATACAATTTTCAAAAGTCTTGTGAAGAAATAATCAATATGTGTTTTGTGGCCTTATTTCAGAAACTTTTATTTTTAAGTTTTTCAATAACCATGCATAAATAATATTCTCTCAAAAATACAAACATGTACATACATGTTGCTCACATATTATGGTAGCCCCGTTTGTGCTATATAGAGTGAATTTACACCTTTGCCATGAACATGTTTATAAATAACTGAAAAAAGCACAAATGTCAGTGCATGTCAAAACATCCCAAGGGCCCCAAAAACCCCTTGGTCCCCAGAGGGTTAAACGAGGAACATTTTGATAGGAGACACCACCTAGATGTATAGGCAGTATATACACTATACAAGGCAGTATATACACTATACAATATAAAAAGACTATAAACAAACAGTAATACTACTCAAAATGTACTGGAGAAATGCATGTTAATTCATTAGACAGATTTGTAAGTGAATTAGTGGAGAGAATTCCATTTCTATGGGACTGCATGTCTGTTTCTTGCAGCATGTACTGTTCTCTCATTGAGAACAATCAATGTCCCAAGTGTCTTTGAAGTGTGTGAGTGGAGCAGAAGGGTGGTGATTCACAGTGGGGCAGACAGACATCACGGAATCCACTTGAGTGAGGAGTTGTGAAGATTAAGCGTAACAATGGTGTGTTTGATTGGTCCTGTCGTTACATAGTTAGTTTGTGGAGTAAATATACAGGCTATAATCTGTGTGTGTACACAGCTTGTTTTAAAATGGCGGTACCATTTCTGTTCCATTAGTCAACTCCGACTGGTACAGACTTTCGGCAACTATTGTCGACTGATCTAGACTGCAAATTGGGGCAAAAGTTGTGTTGTGTATTCCAGCCTTTATAAGGATGTGTAAAAAAAAAAAAAAAAATTCGCCCCCCAAACCAGTCTGCTCACGCAGATCACGTCGTCAGCATGTTCCTGGGCTATGCAGAGTTGTAGACAGACAGTCTTTTTTTCAGAAACCATCTTTCACAGTTCCTCCTGATCGAAAACAATGAGCTTATGTGGCGTACATGTAACCGTAATTACGAGATTGCAACCCATGGCATTCTCGAAGCTGTTCATGTGCTTAGACTCGGATTTAAGCGTTTTTCTCTGGCAACACTACCAACGGTGAAATGAATCTGCAGCAGCACAAGTAGTCAAGTCAAGTCAAGTCATCTTCATTTATATAGCGCTTTTAACAATGGAGATTGTTTCAAAGCAGCTTTACAGAGATAAACATACAATTTACGGTAACAGAGATTGTTTTGGCTTTATAGCGATTTTTGAATAATGTTATTTCCAGCTAAAGTTAGTTTTGATTGATTCACTTCCAGCAAAATTATCATTTGTTATTACATTTGGGGCCACTAAGACGACGGCGTTCTCTCTAAACAGACTTTAAACGCGAACCTGTGACCTGATGGCGTTCACATGCGTTCACAAGCGCATTAACAATTTATTCTATAGTTATATTCGTTTGAATATATGTGCGCAGGTTTGTAATTTCCCTACAAACCATGCCTAAACAAACTACTTGTCTTGCCTATACATTTTATAAAGAATTTTGTTTTATTTTATCACTTCGGGGTACGCGAACCGGAGTAGAGCTCTACAATAATGATGAACGTATACAATTACAATGTTATGTGCTTTGAGACATGAGGTAATTTAACTCTGTCTCTCTGCTCTGGCTGTGTGCGACCAATGTGTTTTGGATGAGGCGTGGCTTTGGAGACGCTCTGAAGGGAGGGTGGGATCTAATGCTTTTAAAGCTAGGGTGCTATTGCTAGCCTCTCCGGAATTGCCTACCCTGATTTAAACAATGAATTTGGATGCTGGATGGGATTTGCGCTGATCTGAAGTAATGATATGAAGCTTATTATTTTATTGAACCTAATTATAATATTTACAGATCAAACCCTGTGTCCCTAAAAGAAAACATTTAGGTTTTTTTTTTTTTTTTTATCAAAACAAAAAACAAATCTTACTTTATGAAATATGAATAACTTTTTACCTTTGAGGATGTCCCCAAAGTGAACCCCAACACTAGGGGTTCCCAACTCGGTAAACTCGCACACATGCACTTGTGCTGTGTGTCCATTTCCTCATATCAAAGGAAAGGACTACTGTATATCATTTTGTTAAAGAGCTCTGTGTTGAGAGGACGTGTGTTTGCAGATTAATGCCGCCCCCAGTTTAAGTCCATCTTTTATTCAGTTTCTGTGTGCCTTTTACTCAATAGCCTCTCAAAAGAGTTCAAAGCTCCTTACCAAATCAAAGAGTACAATTTCTGCCATATCTCTCCTTGCTCAATGAGTCTCATACACGCACAGTTGCACCTGTGGCTGTTTTTGAAAAAAAAAAAAAAAAACTATTTTAACTATTTGGTGGCTATCTGTCACAGTGATGCAGATTGAACAGTCCTGTCCTGTACAGCAGTGTCCCCAGGGTGAGACCTGGCATGCCTGTCTTATTGTCCTTTTCCGAGAAAGCAATACTGAAAATAGAGAGCGAGAAATTAACCTGTGCTAACACTATAGTCACTCTGGGGTATCTTTGTTTTTAGTCTCTGTTTTTAGTTTGATGTGAAATCAATAATTCATGCGTATTTATTTAATTGGTTCACATAAGGGTCCTGACCAGATTTATTTTGCGATTAAATGACCAGCTGATAGAACATTGTTGCTTACTTTTTTTCTTTTTCATAGTCTGTCTTTCTTAGCAGTTGCAGCGCTCCTTCATAACGATGCAGAAACATGGGGACAGAGTTAAGAAAATCACATGTAGAGGGAGGAAAAAGATTGTTAAGAGTGACAAAGGAGACCCCTAAAGAAAATTGTCGGATAGTGAGATTGAATTTTTAACTGCCTCACTCTTTATTGGCTGGCTTCACTTTTTATGACGTCATGAGCAATCCAGTCATTTATATAGATCAGTGCTCAATACTGTGTTCAGCAAGTAAAGAGGGAGGAAGTGCCAAAGATATGCTTTTCTTCCTCTCTCTTTTCACACGCATTTACACCATTCTGTTTCTGCGTATGGGGATATAAGTCACCCTGCCGCAGGACATTTTCACTCACAAACAGTCTATTTCTCCACTCTCTGACTCAGAATTACATTTAAGCAGAGACAGCCTGAAAAAAAATCTCAATTTTCTTTTGCATGTGTGCATGCCTTTGCATGCATGCATCATTGCAATTTGTTTGCTATTTGTACATTGGGCTAGTTTTGCAAAACTACAAACAGCATATTGAGTAATGCTTGATACCTGCAAAAATTTAATGTATTCATCTTGATTTGAAAATGAATACACTACTTTTCTAGAAATTACTTGTAAAGTCAAGTGGTGTAATATTTCCTTATATACTCAAATTAATTCAGGGTATAATTCTGAATTATTACTAAAAAAGTATTACTAACACTTTATTTTACAGTGTCCTTGTTACATATGTTACATGTACTTGCGTGTAATTATGCATAATTTACTAATTACTACAGCAACTACCCTAAACAAAACCCTATTCCTAACCCTATCCTATAGTAAGTACATGTGAATTGATATTATGCAAATGTATAATTACACCTTAAAAATGACACCTAAGTCTAAAGTGTAACCAAAAAAGGGAATTATAGTGAAGAATTATGAACTTTAACCCCTGAATATTATGGTTAACTTGGATTTTTAGCTTTGGCATTTTTTGACAACCTAAACTAAACTTGTCATGTTACAGAAAGTTTCAGCCTTTTGGATATATATTTTTTATTTGAGACTCTTTTTTTTTAATATATATATATAATTTGTAACTACCTCACATCAAAGTCAATGATGTCAAGGTGAACTGTCTGAAGTAAATATAGGTTGGGAATTTAAAAAAAAAAAGTTGTTTGATTTCTTTTCCCTCTTTTTCTAAAGATCTTCCTCTACGACTGCACCGAGGTGTCTCCGTTTTCATTGCTGTTCTTCGGAGGGGATATTTCCATCCAGAGGGACCAGGACCAAGAGACCATCGCCGTGGATGAGTGGATTGTATTTCAGTCCCCGGCACGCATTGCTCACCTAGTCAAGGTTTGTGTTCATTTGACATTTTTTTGTTTCACATACAATACAATACAATACAAAGTTTATTTATAAAGCACAATTTAAAAACAACCGAGGTTGACCAAAGTGCTGTACAAAAGAGGATAAAACAAACACAAGCTGTAAAATAGGTGTAACACATAAAAGTAAAATCCTGAAACAGCAAGTCAAGGTATATTAAACGCCAAAGAAAATAAGTGTGTCTTGAGGGAGGACTTAAAGGTAGATAAAGTTGGGGCAGTTCTGATATGAACCGGGAGAGTATTCCATAATTTAGGGCCGATGACAGAGAAGGCACGATCACCTCTATTTTTTTAATCTTGTCCTGGGAACTTGCAATAGTCTGGAGTTAGCAGATCTAAGTGACCTTGACTGAACGTAGGGGTGTAGCAAATTTTGAAATCGATTCTATATTTGATCGGCAGCCAATGTAGTGAGATCAATACTGGCGTGACAGAATCATATTTACGTTTTCCATAGAGGAGCCGAGCCGCTGCATTCTGAACTAATTGTAGACGTGAAACACAAGCCTGAGGGGCACCGATATACACAGAATTACAGTAGTCCAATCGAGATGTTACAAAAGCATGCATAACTGTTTCAAATTTCTTTAGAGAAAGAAATGGCTTTACCTTTGACAGGAGACGAAGATGGTAAAAACACGACTTAATCACAGTGTTTATCTGCTTATCGAATTTAAGATTATTATCAAGCCAGACACCTAAGTTTCTGACACATGTGGTAGTATAAGGTGACAAAGATGCAAGTTCAAGGTCATGTACATAGTAAAACTGAACTTATTGTGTTTGGTTCAAATGAGCACTCTCATTAATACTCATGAAGTTAGTTGCAAGCCAGTGTTTTAGTTCTTCCAAACAGTCCATAATGGTCTTTAGGGCCTGCTTGTTATCCCGCTTCATAGGGATATACATTTGGGTGTCATCTGCGTACAAATGGAAAGAGACCCCATACTTGTTAAAAATAGACCCTAGTGGAAGCATATAAAGGGAAAACAATACAGGACCCAAAATTGAACCCTGAGGAACACCAGAGTTTAAAGATATTTCAGAAGATGAATGGTGTCCAATATTGACAACATACCTCCTGTCAGAGAGATATGACCAAAACCACTGTAATACTGTGCCACGAAGTCCAACACATGTTTCAAGACGTGATATAAGAATATCATGGTTGATTAGATCAAAGGCAGAACTGAGGTCTAACAGAACCAGAGCCATAGACTGCCTGGAGTCAGTAGTTAACATGATATCATTTAAAACTCTTAAAAGAGCTGACTCAGTACTGTGACAGGATTTAAAACCAGATTGAAATTTTTCATTAATAGAGTTTAAAGTCAGATAAGACTGAAGTTGATTTAAAACAACTTTCTCTAGAATTTTTGAGAGAAAAGGTAAATTTGAAATTTTACCACATGTGACTTGACATGGCACTCAGTGATGGATTGCAATTATACTTCAAATGTATTCTTTAAATTTAGGAGCTGAGGAAGGAGCTGGACGTGTTACTGGAGGAGAAAATAAAAAGTCCACGTCCTGTGGACTGGAATGACCGGCAGTCTAAAGATTGTGCCGTCATCTCTGCCATAATCGACCTCATCACCACACAGGAAACCCCTGCTGAAGACCCCAGGAGAGGCAGCCAGTGAGCACAACCACCAACAGCTTATTTATTTCAATGACATTTAGCTGCCACAGAGAAGACTGATCTGCTCTCACCCACTCTGATCTTTTTTTTATCAATACTTGCAAGTGTTGAAGTAAATACTTAAAGTTATCTTATCTTTAATGTTAGCACTTCTTTTTTATTTTAGCATTGGCTTGAGTTGTATGCTTTCTTTACAGTAATTCATTAAATTTGACATAATATAATCCATTTGTCTATGGAGATCTTTCATTCGTAATCTCACTTTATACACATACATATAGGTCAAGTGAAAGTTTAAGGAATGCAATATATTTACTCTTTAAATGCACATAAAAAGATCTTGAATATGAATCTATATACTGATTATTTCTATTGATTCGTTTACAAATTGAGTATCTGATACATGTTTACATTTTCCCTGAGAGTCAATTATGAGAGTGAATAAGCGAGTGAACATCTCTGTGCTGCTATAAAACTTTCCTTCATTTTAAATAGGGACTCCATGTACACGAAATGTTACTTGCTCTGAACAGTGAACCTGTGTCGCTTTGGAAAAAGCTAATTTTTGTGGAGGACAAACCCCCCCCCCTCCTCATATTTTAAAATGAGCCCTAAACTCAATGTATAATCACAATAAATCACTGTTGGATAAAGCAGAATTCCACATGGTGTGTATTTCCCCTTTTGAAGCAACTAAAGCAGTTACTGCACTGTAGTGGTTCGAGTTCATCCACAGTTTTATCATGTGCTGTGCGTTCCTCAGGAGGTAATGTCTCAGACATTGGTCTCTAGGCTTTGCAGACGGTCCATCCGCTGCATGTTTTTCTCGATGGTTGCCTGACAGGTGATGAGTTCAGCACACTCCGCTAGGAACCAGCCCCTCTCTCCATCCCGCAGACGCTCTCCTTCATACCAGCCTGAAACCACAGACAGACATCAATTGAGATTCTTGTGTACACAAACCAGACACTGAACAAAGGAAAAATATTTGACTACAAATCAACAAAATCTGCTGTCGGAGCCATGGCTTAGCGGTCAGTAACATGAATGTGCCATTTCTTACAGAAGTTCCCCCTTATTTCCTTTGTATTGCACACTTTCTCTCTTCTTTTGCCAGTTTCTTTTATAAATAACAAAACAAGAGTCTAGAATTTTGCATGAAGCTGGTTAAGAACTGTGTAGCTGTGAAGTTTTAAGAGTCGGGTATCAATGTGATGAACTGAAGTAGTGCTGAGATAAACACTTTTTCTACTTCAAATTGCTCTCTGAGTATTGTGGAGAGCTTTTGGAAAAGATGAAATGTTCAAAAATAAAACAGCCTGCTTTCAACTGTCTTTTGTATATTTAATGGCCATTAAAAGATTCAAGGGGCCTTTGAAGCCCTATCCCATGAGCCCTGGCCTTTCAACATGAAAGCCAGCCAATGAGCAGAAGCCAGAGCGAGACCGTCGCTTGACCCTCTGACCAGCACCATCAAAACTGAGACCTTCAGCTGAGCCTCATATGAAAAGACATCCCTGTGGTTAAAGGACTACTCGTTCTGGGACAATAATTATTATCCAATAACCACAGAACTGTCCTCTGGAGAACTTTAACACAAGCAAGAGGTCAGATTTGTGTAGAGAATTTAGAAAGTACCAAGTCTGAGCTTGAAGAAAGATTCTTTAAAGCAGTGGTTCTCAACCTTTTTGACTCCAAACACACTATTTTGCTAAGTGACAGTAAATACTAGAGGAAGAATGCAGATCCGGCTTTCTTTCTCTGTACTCTTAGATTTGGTGTAGTCTTATAAACATCATAGTAAATTAAAAAATCTGAACCGCTGTTTGAAAACACATACATTTGTTTGATAATGTTTCTTCTCTTTGCAGTGTCAGAAATGAAAAGTTGTGCAAGTTGCTGCCCTTGTGTGTTTTTTTATTACTACATTTTGAACAATAAACACAGAGGTGTAGTGGTAAAAAAAGAGGTGGGTAAACTATAAATTCTGGTGGACCACGACGTGGTCACCCGGTAAGGTGGGCCACTGCGTATGTGTATCCTGATGTCCTGATGACATTGCTATTAGGCAGGGCTCGACATTAAGCCTTTTCATACGCTTGTCCTGACCTTAGGACAAGTAAATCTGTCATTCACTTGTCCGAGTAAAAAAGTTTCTCGTCAGGATTTTTTTTGTTTGTTTTTTTTGTGTTAATTTATTCTGAAACAATATTCTCATCAGTGTTCAATTAGCTTTGATATTTAAATCGGCATATTGTAATATTTGCACCTTTAAAGGGCATCCCCTCCCCAATATTATTAAATGTATGCTTCATCTTTCATTTTAAATTCCTAAATTTGATCAATAAATTCAATTATTTCGAATAATAAGACGCTATAGGGCTGATCAAATTAAATCATTTACACTGAAAAATTACAATTGCATAAAATAATGTTATGAAATTGATTTAAATTTACAAATAAGAAACGTTGGAAAGAATGATCTACTTTTAAACATAACACGAAACCGCCAGTAGGTGGCGGCAGGCGACCGTCTTAATGAGTGAGTCATTGATTCATTCATGATTCAAACGATTTGTTCAAACGGCTGATTCATTCAAGATTGAGACAGATGTTTATGAATGGGTCATTGAATCTTTGACTCAATCGATTCGTTCAAAATGCTGAATCATTCAGTAATGAAAACAGGTTGAGTGTTCCTGTGAGATGCGCCGTGGTTCTGCTGTGATTTTTGTTTGGAACTATTTTCGCTGCTGAAACAGAACAAAAACAGCCAAAATATTATTGCATCTAAAATGTAAGTGACTTAATTTTAACTGTTTATTGAACTGTTGTAGGAAATCAATGTCACATTTTCAATCGTGATGGTGTTCAGGAAAAATAATTGAGGTTGCTTAACATATGTTAAAAATATAAAAACTCCACATTTAGATTTTTTATAGGCAGTATGTTGTTAACTGAGTGTGTGTGTGCGCTCATTTGTGTAGATTTCTCCTCGAGAGGCTGCGCGATCGTCAACAGCGCAACCTTACCGTCAGTAAAAGTCAACAACACTGACAGTAATGCAGCGCAATATGAAAGAGTTCGTTTTAGGTTTACCAACCTATGAAACTAATAATGAACAATATGAAACTAAAACGACATAAGCTTAATTTATAGCTATTTAGAGGTGGATAAACGCACTTTGGAGGTGGGTAAACGCTATTTCTGAATATTGGGAGGTGCGTAAACGGCGTTTACGTGCGTTTAGCCTCCACTACATCCCTGAATAAACACAACGACAATTATGACAAATATCAGTTATAGCAAATCAAACATCAGAATATACATTTAGTGTGTATATCAATGGATTGCATTGTACACTGTCCTTGTGTACTGCTGTATTTCTACTTTTTCGTAAGTGCCACCCACTCAGAGTAAAATTGCATTTTCATTCAGTCTATCTGCTGCTTTTTTTTATTTTGCATTGATTTGAACAGACATATTGAATGCCAAAATCAGACTGAATTATCGTTTTGGTGTGAAGAATGAGAAGAATGGAGATAAGGGGGGTGATCTCACCATCCACTATCTGTGACAGCAACACCACATCAGCGACCTGTAGAGAGAGCTCATCCGGCTGCCTGGCTGTGTACGTCCTCGTCACCTCCACCTGCATGGCGTCTAACAGAGAAATACACACATTTATCACTTTAACAAAAATAAAGTGACACTATGACAATCTAGTCCCTAAATATTCCTCCCTCAGTGTAATTTTCATTTATCATTTTTCTATCCACCTGGCAAAAATCATAAGCTTATAGAAAATTAATACTACACTTCTCACAAAGCAGCAGATTTAAGGCATCGTTCAGGAAAAACACAGTTTAGTAATAGTAACAGCGATTGTTGACTTGATTAGCAGTAGCTGAGTAGTGTCGCTGTAATACTCTCCATGGCCAGAGGGTGACACTGTTTCGCTGAGGCTGGTTATACTCACTCATTCTGTCATTCTTGTTGTCACTGTTGTTCCGTCCTAGAGCACTGATCCACCGGGCTCTCTCATTACTGTCACCAAAAAACAAAACCAAAAAAACACCATGATTAACTGATAACCACTGAAGCAGTTTTTTTTTTTTTTTTTTTTTTTTTTTTTTTATGTGGTCTTGTTTGGTTTTCACAATTTGATTCATTTTGACCAAATAACACCGAAGATCTTCCTTTTTCACATTCCTTTATTGTTCTGGACCGTTCAAAGACACACACCCCCAGACTCAGGTGCAACAGCAGGTAAGGTTACTAGGAGAAACCTGACCTCGGTGCTGAAGCATTCATTACATTCAGTACAAGAAGCATCTGTTCGCTCTTGTAAGCTCTTTTGTGTTTGTTCAGTTTCAGTGTGAACATTCAGCCACTTTCATACAAGAAAGAAAGAAAGAAAGAAAGAAAGAAAGAAAGAAAGAAAAAGAGATAGGTGATGCCATCATTTTTTACTCTTTCAATCCTTGAATGATTTGAGCTGTGACGTACATGAGTCAAATTCAGCACAAATATCCCACAATAAACATTATTGTATTAGGACTCAGGAGAGCAGAAAGACACAAGGGGGTCATCTGTCAGAAACTACTCCTTTGTTTAATGAGATTTGCTATTTTGCTATAAGTTGTGAGAGGGAAATACTGAAAACCAGGGGAAACATTTTCAGAGCTGACCTGCATTCGAGCTCCTAAAGTGAGTCAGCCAGACTGTGGGATGTTTAGTACAACTGCAGCGCACACAGAGACACCAGTCCCATATCACAAACTGAGCTGACCATCTGCATGAGTCATGCTTGGCTCATTCTGGTCCCGTTTACAGCTAAAGGGGTCACAAAGGCCTCTCTCCTGTTCCATTACCGGGAATCTTAATGAGCGTGATTGTGGAGTGATTCATTCATTGACTAATTAGTGTTTATAGAGTAATTAGTGTTTAGTAGAGTCACTGACAAAGAACATGGGAAATCTTATATAAATCTTAGCATAATTAAAACATTACAATACAATTTTTATATATATATATATATATACACACACACACAGTATATACATTTTGTACAAATGATGCATTTATTCACCAAGGATGCATCAAATTGATCAAAATTCTTTCAAACTTTCTATTTATCAAAATATCCCGAAAAAAAAGGTATCACTGTTTTCACAAAAATATTAAGCAGCACTGTTTTCAACATTTATAATAATACATAATGTTTCTTGTGCAACAAATCAGCAATTGGGAATGATTTTTTCTGAAGGATCATGTGACACTGATGACTGGAGTAATGATGCTGACAAATCAGCTTTGCCATCACAGGAATTAATTACATTTTAAAATATTATCAAAAAGAAAACAGTTATTTTAAATTGCAATAATATTTCACAATATTGATGACCCCAACATTTTGTTATGTTATTTATGCCAAGCAAACGAACATAAATAATCAATATGTGCCTGAATTGTTGCAATGAGGAAACGACACATGATCAACCAAGCAAAGACATCCTTCACACACTCATTGTGCATGTCCAAATATTAAATGTGTAATGCAAACTATGAGGACGTTTGTTTTGCTGAACCCGTTTCCCTCAGCCGCTTGTGTAGTTAGCATGAGAAGGGCAGCTGTCTATTCACATCCTTGGAATCTGAGCACACATGATCACAAGAGGTAGCAAAAACGCCTTCACGCTGCTCCGAATTACACCAGCTGAATTACTCATCTTACACCTAGACACAGTGTTACACATTCCCTGAGTTCATAACATTTTCTAAATGATTTGAAAAGTCCTGCATGAATAACATTTCGATAAAACCTTTCAAGGTCAAAACTTTTTTTTTAAATGACACCAATGCATTTAGAAAATGGATGGGGTGAATTTTCATTTCATGCAGAATTAAGCAACTCTGATCAAGCAAGCTATATTTGCAAACACCAGAGAGGCCGGCAGCACCAGGAAGACCTCACATCTCCCACTGTCTGGTCTCCTGCATGCTGCACTGCTTCAACACGCTCCAACAGGCTTCCTACAGCTGAGGGCCAACATTCCAGGCCTATCACCTTTAAAGATTATTTTACATGAGGTGAAAAGTTAAAAAGGCACCCAAGCACCAGTAGATGGTAGGTTTGGAAGTAAATATCAAAACTGAAAACAGAGCGAAGGAAAACATGAAGATGAATGAGGCATCTTCAAGAAATATATCTACTTTTGGCTTTTTTCATATTAAGACAAAACCAATACATTATCTAATCAATTATACTGCTCATTTAGTGGGTTTCCACTTGCAGTTTTAGGGCACCATAGAATCCCCCTTGGAAAGAAAGTGAAGACGGAAGAATCGAAGGAAATCTTCTTTGTGTATTGGAATATTATTGATCACTCAAGCATCACTTCAAACCGTCATCAGGTGTGTTGAAGGGATCTGCCCTTCAATCTGCCCTTTTTTCTATTGGCGGCTATATAGTTCCATCAAGCAGCTTTAACATCCATTGAACCTTTCCATTCAACAAAAGGTTCTTTATTCTAGAAAAGGGTTGTTTAGATTATTAAAATGTTTTTCACACTAAGAAAAAGTGGTTCTTCTATGGCAGTCTTCAAGCCTGCTCCTGGGGACCCACTGCAAGGAAATGAGGAAGCATCAATTTGAGTATTGAGAAGCACCCATATCAACATTCAAGTGAACACAGCACAAAAAGATGTGGCTAATGACGTCACAATGGGGGTCTGTTCTCCAATATCCTTTTCTAAGACATGGGGAGTTGGGGGCTTTCCATAATGATGACATTCTTGTACACCCACCGTGAGGAAGGATTGTGCCACTCACCGCATACCACTCATAGAGCTGGTTTAGCAGTATCAACATGTTATTAGACACTCAATTGGGTGGAGCCTGAAAGAAATGTGGGAGAACTTGTCTTGTGTTGACGGAGGTTCCTCAGAAGAACTACAGTCATGCTGACTCTTCACCAAGAGCAACTGTAGATAAGCATCTTTGTTATGTAAGTGGAATGGCAACATGCTAAGCTATAATTACACTCTCAGAGACAGATAACATGTTATCTCACTCACCTGAAAAGCTCAATTGAAAATGGTTCTAATCCTTTAAAAGTATTTAATGTACTCAGAGAGAGAGAGAGAGAGAGAGAGAGAGAGAGAGAGAGAGAGAGAGAGAGAGAGAGAGAGAGAGAGAGAGAGAATATAGAGGCAAACAGCAGATCTTCTTACATTTCTTACATACGGTTCCTTTAAGACTGTATTTCAATTAATCATAAAATGGCCCTGATATGTCACTAGACATTAAGAAATCATGTTCATTTCAAATACTTATATCAATGACAATAGTAGTACGCCCAGTGTATTGTCATTTAAAAAGTGAAGTTGCAGCCCTCAACTGTAATTTGAATTACACCGCTCTACAGTAATTTGAAAGTGATTGCAGGACCAGTTTTGGTCACAATCTTGCATGCGGTTCCTTTAAAGTAAAACTAGTTTTAGTTACTGTACCTTTAAGGTTTCTCTAAGTAAATAACCTGTTCTGTTCAATATAACTTGTGTCTCTAAACCTATTTGCTTTAAAAGCTTGAGGAATGATACAGATCTTTACTGAACAAATAAAGACCATTGTCATCCATTTAAATGAGTGATATGGTTGGTTTCATGGAATTTATTGATAAGTTCTCAGTGCTCCATTACAAACAAACAAAAAGGCCTAGAAATTACTGTACAGTGTCCAGAGTCACTAGAGTCATATCTAGAGACCAGAATATCGACGTTTGTCCTTTTGACTTGAGGAAGTGACCACTTAGCAATGGAATAGCAACACGCTAAAAAACACTCAGAACACCTTAGCAACCAAATAGTACCCTCTTGGCAACCACTTAGTCTTTTAACATTGTGATGCTGATATTTGCACAGACGGGCACCACACAGTCTCCGGAAATACGTGTTTATTTCTTAAGGTCAGAGGAGGTGTGAAAGAAGATGATCATGTCAAAATAACTACTGTTTTTGATGCAAATAAATTTGACTAAAAATTAAACTTAAATAAAATAATACAATGTTACATAAGTGTAGAATATGTTCCCTTGAAATAAAATTCAGGTTTTCTGGCTTTAAAATGAAGGAAGGAGGATTATTTTGGAGAGATGCAGAGCAAAAGAATGATACAAATGTGCAGCTGTTTCTGTGCAGCTATTTTCTGTTTTTTTCCCCCCCTCCCCTTTCCTGACCTTAGTCCTCAAAACAAGAGCAAAAACCCTGCTGGAGTCTTTCTCTTCACCAAACATGTTTGTATGTGCTCTATTCGACATGATTAGCTTTTTTTAATGAGTAGTTCTTGGCACTAAGTACATCACCTACGGCTATAGTTTCAAACAAACCCTGATTCAAAACCATCAACAACTATTACAAGTGAAAGGGTGAGGTAGATCAGGAAATCCTGATAATTTGTTTAGTTTACTGGGTGAATGCCTGATTCTTTTCTGATAAATCTTGTGCTGGTACATGAGGTCCTGCAGTGTGATGACTGATGGGGTGCTAAAACACACAGGTACTGCTTTTTAAAAGCAGTTAAAAGCTGTCATGTCAATTAAAGGTTATGTCAACACGTCTACTTCAGCCGGTTATCTAACCTCAGAAAGATACAGAATCACTCACGTAAGTCATAAGCAAGTTCAATAAAGGGGTCATATAATGCCATTTTTGTACAAGCTAATATGATTCTTTAGGGTCTAAATTAAAAGTTTGTAATATACTTTAATTAAAAATTCTCATTAGTATTGTAAGAAAACACTTATTTTACCTGGTCAAAAACAGCTCTGTTTTCAGCACGCCGTTTCAGTGCATATGACTTTAAATGATCATGAGCTTTGCTCACCCCGCCTCTCTGTTCTGTGCAAACACCATTTGTAACACAATAACACAATAACCATAACGCGTTGTTCAGTATAAACATGGGATTATGAATTATATTGAGAACGTCATACATAGAAAACATGCTGTAATGTACCCTGAGTGTAAACCTTAGACGCATTCATTGTGAAGCGTGCAGCTAGCGATTTGCAAAGATTAATATATTAATATAAAGTTTAATAAAACGTTACACTCACTTCCGTTCTTCTGGAGATTCAGCAGGAACACGAATATCTGGTACCGATCCTTTTTTCATGAGCAGCTTCTTAGCAAATCCAGCTTTATACTGATCCTCGTTTATAAAGCAGTCTGGTGTGTGAAATGATTCGCGCAAACATGAAAGCATTGACGTTGCTCGTGGGGAATATTCCCTTCGAAAACAAACTCAGCCACTGCGTCTTAAGCGGTTCGGATTTAGGAACATTAAAATGACTGCTGTGTTCGTTATTACACCCAAGAACAGAACACCACAATCGCTTAGACGCCATTCTGCTCATAGACAGTGCTCCAGCATATCAACAATGACCGCGCCTGTCCGCGCGGACTATGATTGACAGCTCCCTCACGAGCGAGGGCGAGTCTGTGTTGAAACGCTCCTGTCAATCAACAATCGTGGGAGGGGCTTCCGACCGTGTGACGTCACACGGTCGAACGGCTTGATTTGAGGCAGGGGAAAACATATAAGGAGATTAAAACAAAAACACTGGATGGATTTTGATCATTTTATGATGGTTGTGTACAGGCACTGCCAACACACATTTCAGTACAATCAACTTGTAAAAGTGCATGTACCATTATATGACCCCTTTAATATGTAAGTGTGTTGATGTAAGCACAAGCAAACTAAATGCACCATGAAAGGAAGCAAAGGGAGAAAGGGAAATTATATGATAAAGTCAGGGTTCCCACATAAAATCTGTTTTTCTATTTCTGTCTAATTTTCAAAATATGCTATTGGTCAGTATATGTGACCCTTGACTTGGGAACGGCAGATCATAAGTGAGTAATAAAAGGAAGGGATCTCAATTTGAACCAGAAATTACTAAAATACATCTTTGCCAGGATCTATGAATAAATCTATGACTGGGTTTGGACAATACTTGATTTTAAGACAAAACAATGAATGATGCAATCTGAAGCTGAATTGAATATGAATTGCATCGTTATTTCTAGAAGTCATGGATGATGCAGTTATAACGAAGCTCTGCTGAACAAATTGCCCATTATCAGCTCTAGAAATCATACAGCAGGAGTAAAAAACTCAACTCTGCAAGGCTGTGGCCCTCCAGGAATTTAGTTCCAAACCTGTTCCAACACACATACCTGTAGTTTTCAAATAAGCCTGAAGGACTTGATGAGCTGGATCAGGTGCGTTTAATTAGAGTTGAGGCTAAAGCTAAACTCTGGAGGGCTATGGCCCTCCAGGAACTGAGTTTTTCACACATGTCATACAGTGTTGTGCTCTCTTATTTTTCAGTAAACTGAAACTGAACACAGGGATATAAATATAAGGAACAAACAAAGGGAACTAGATGAACACAGGTGAACAGAATCTAATCAATGATTAACCATAGTAACAAAATAGAGTCAATGAGTAACCAAGAGAACTAATTATGAACACAGGCAAACAGAGCAGACTGAATTGAATGAATTATTATGCAAATACTTACAGTAGCTCCAACCCTAAGATCATGGTCACATTGTCTCCAGAGTAGTTGCTGCGGAAACTGATCTGGAACAGGTGGCTGGCCACGTTCTGTCGTGACGTCAGCATTCCTGCAGTGCCACGTACTGGAGAGAGATTCAGGTCTTCTGCCTGACAAGACCCCACCCAGATCTGATCCCTCAGTGCGTAGTCTATAACTGTATAGCTCTCCTCGCTGAGGGAAGAGAAACAGAGAGAGTCAGAGATTAATATTAAAGAAATATTTAAGGTTAAATCACTTGGGTCTCAGATATACATTTTCGGTGGAACACCACCAAGTCCATCACACACAAACAATTGTATTTTTCACATTTGTATTGAATACATTAAGTAATCATTCACAGTGCAGGGAGGAGAAAGTACTTGTAGATCTTTCTTTAGACGCAGAACTTCCACCAGATGTTTACTGTAGCTGCTTATAAGACTTTTGACCAGTTTTAGACCATCCCTCAGCTCAAATCTGTTTCAGTTTATCTATATTTCTGGGTTGTCTTGTTTGCACAACACTCTTTAGGTTATGTCACAGAATATCAATTGGCTTCAGGTCAGGACACTTCTTTTGTTGAATCACCCAACCTCTTTTAAGCTTGAAGTCTGAACATCTGTCCTGACAGTCTCATGCAAAAATGTCTTGATAGTCTCTTGAATTCATTGTTCCTTCAGTGATTCACACGTGTCCTTATGCCACCATGAGACACATCAATATTTTTCCTTTGTCCACAGTGGTTTCCTATGTGTTGTCCTTCCCTATGTGTTGTGTTTTTCTGATAGTGGGCACAGGGAGAATAGATTTGCAATCCCTGCGTCTCGAGGAGAACAAATTTGTCAGTGTGTGCCTTTATTTAACAGACAGGTCTTCAGTGAAACCCACACTTACAATCTCATCTTCTTAATTGACTCCATTTATCTTCTGGAGAAGTCTTAACACAGAGGTTTACTTCATTTGTCCAGTCTGCCTTGCTAATAATCACTCATTGTTTTCAAGAAAACTTTTGTGTTATTACATTTTGTGTGTTATTATGTCAGATTGTGTCCATCTTGTCTATATTTGTGACTTAGATAAAGATCGGACCACATTTTATGAGTAATCAATGCAGAAATCAAGACATTTTCAAAGGGTTCACAAATGTATTCTTGTGACTGTACGTCTAGCTTTAGTTCAATAATAAACAAACTACAGCTAGTTCAAAACGCAGCAGCTCGAGTTCTTACCAGAACCAGGAAATATGACCATATTAGCCCGGTTCTGTCAACACTGCATTGGCTCCCTATTAAACATCGTATAAATTTAAAAATATTGTTGATTACTTACAAAGCACTAAATGGTTTAGCTCCGCAGTACTTGAGCGAGCTCTTAACGCATTATAGTCCTTCACGTCTATTGCGATCTCAAAATTCCGGCCAGTTGATAATACCTAGAATATCAAAATCGACTGCTGGCGGTAGATCCTTTTCCTATTTAGCACCAAAACTTTGGAACAGTCTTCCTACCATTGTCCGGGAAGCAGACACACTCTGTCAGTTTAAAGCTAGACTAAAAACACATCTCTTTGACCTAGCATACACATAATACATTATAGACTTCGGTACTTTCCTGTTATCCGGACCCCACCATATACCATGGGCGGGGTTAGGGGTAGGCCATCGTCCCTGATTGGTCTTAACCCCAGTGACGGGTAGCTTTAGGGGCGGGGTTAGGGGTAGGCCATCGTCCCTGATTGGTCTACCCCAGTGACGGGTAGGTTTAGGGGCGGGGTTAGGGGTAGGCCATCGTGGGGTCCGGATAACAGGAAAGTACCGAGACTTCTATAATTCAATGTTAGGCTGCATAGATTAAGTCAGCCGGAACTGGGAACACTTCCCTTAAATCCAGATGTACTCGTTACATCATAAGAAGAATGGCATCTATGCTAACTTTAGTGTCTTTGTTTATCCCGAGGTTTTCCCGCAGCCTGCCGGATCCAGGCCGTATCCAGATCTGACGAAGGAGCTTCGCCTGGACCCGATGACAATGCAGTGCTGAAGTGTCAACTATCCTCTTTCTCCCTATGGAGGATACCTTTCCCACTCTACAGATAAAGCATTGTTGAAAATCCGGTTCGCGTACCCCGAAATGATCAAATAAAACAAAATTCTTTATCTAATGTATAGGCAAGACAAGTAGTTTGTTTAGGCATGGTTTGTAGGGAAATTACAAACCTGCGCACATATATTCAAACGAATATAACTATAGAATCAATTCTTAATGCGCATGTGAACGCCATCAGGTCACAGGTTCGCGTTTAAAGTCTGTTTAGAGAGAACGCCGTCGTCTTAGTGGCACCTAATTTGATAACAAATGATAATTTTGCTGGAAGAGAATCAATCAAAACTAACTTTAGCTGGAAATAACATTATTCAAAAATCGCTATAAAGCCAAAACAATCTCTGTTACCGTAAATTGTATGTTTATCTCTGTAAAGCTGCTTTGAAACAATCTACATTGTTAAAAGCGCTATATAAATGAAGATGACTTGACGTTACTTGACTTTAGTTGCCTGTCTAACACTTTCCTGCCATCTGGAAGTAATTGGAAGGTTTAGGCAGGTCAAATGGCCCCTCGCTGCAGAGACGTGAGGCTCTCGATCTCTGCTGAGGCCCATCAACAGCAGCTAACTGTACACCAATAACATTACACATGTGCAGCAGTGCTGTATCTTTTTACCAGGGACCACTGGCCTACTGTTATATGTACATGACTTCAGGGAGAAGCTGTGGGTTTAAAGTGCAGGTCATCAGCTATCCATCAAACCTTGCTCCAAAACATCAATCAAAACCAGAATGCAATCTGCAGTATGGAAAAGGGGATAGACTGATAAAGAGGAACACTGGAGGAGTGATAAAGAGGTGGAGGCGTAATGTAGACCTTAACGGGTGAATCTCATGAAATGTTAAGACATGTCCCAGTCAAATTTCACCCCAAAATCAAAAGAAACAAATAACATATTTTGGACAGAAATTTCTAACTCTATCCCGAGTAAGCTATCTGCGTGCAAAATAATAATAATAATAATAATAATAATAATAAATGTAAGAAGTATAAGTACAGTACACTTTAGTATTTGTTGTACTGAATTTTATGCAGATTTTAATAATAATAAAAGCATTTTGTCTTGACAGGATGGATCAATAATTATAGTAATGAAAATGTGATGCTTTTTCTTGCATTTTAGTAATAATAATTTTTCCTGAAGGAATAGTTCACACAAAAATGAAAATTCTGTTCTCATTTCCTCACCCTCATGTTATTCCAAACCTGTTTGACTTTCTTTCTGCTGTGTAACATAAAAGAAGATATTTTTGTATGTCTCAGTTTGTTTATTTATTTATTTTTGTCCATACAAAGGTAGTCAACATTAACAAAGAGGGTGAGTAAATTACATATTGAGGAAACATATACAATACAATATATATTTGTCTACTTTAAATTTGTAGAAGATGTCCTGTCACTTGTCACACATCTGTACAATATATTAAACAAAACAGTATTTCTGTCTATAGTCAATATGCTAAAATGTTTTTCTATGATTTAAATTATTAAAAGTTTCTGACAATGACTGCTGACTGTTTTAATTAGAATATTTATGTGTAAACAAGTGCTATTCATAAAAGCATTGAAATGCTAGTGGTGTGGAATAAGTCAGCATGTCTTCAGCCAGATAATTAGCTGTGTTTGTATAGAGATAATTGAATAAGTGGAGTCAGATCCTCCTGTTCAGTTCCTGAAAATCCTCTGGACTCTGTCCGACACAATCACAATGCCATTTACATTCCACTGGCAGAAGACGACAGATCCTACAGACAGAGTGGGACCAGGACCATCACACATAATCGGAAGTCTGGAAGAAACACGGTAACTCAGGTGATCATGAAAGAGTCTGAGCAACAGAGAGAGAGAGAGAACAAATGAGCTATTAGGAAGCTGAATCTTCAAAAGGAAAGCAGTCCAAATGATGTGATGCTCTAAATCATTTATAACACTGAAAATTACTGATTTAGTAAAAATAAAATAAAAAATCATCATCAATAAAATAGTCACCAAACCGACATCGATAAAAACTAGTGTTGGCAAAAGCCGACTGTTGTGTTTTTGCTCAACTTTTTTGAGCCATAGGCCTACATCTAAATCAGTAGATGATTTGATGGATCATTTTAATTCACAAATGTTAGACATTATGGATAATATAGCACCTTTCAAACTTAAGAAAGTCAGTAAAAAACAGAAAGCCCCATGGAAGCTTAATTCAACAGTTAAGCTCTTGAAGAGAGAATGTAGGAAGACAGAAAGACAGTGGCGAAAAACCAAACTCCCAGTACATTACAATATATATAAGGAAAAGCTTAAAATTTTTAATACTGAAACTGGTAAAGCTAGACAGTTGTTCTTTTCTAACATTATCAATCAAAACATAAATAATGCTCGAGTTCTTTTTTCCACAGTGGAAAAACTGACAATTCCCCCACAAAAACTGCCACCTGAATTCATCTCGACCATAAAATGCAATGAGTTTGCGTTATTTTTTAAATCTAAAATTGATCAAATTAGACTGAATATAATAAATCAAAAGCATTTCACTATGCAACCAGAACAAATAACTACAGGAACATTAAACAGGATGGCTAACTTTAGTTTGATTGATACTGAAACACTTAATAAAACAGTACAAAGCCTCACCTCTTCCACTTGTACACTAGATATTTTACCCACCACTTTTTTTAAAATCTGTTTTTCATATTCTAGCACCAGAACTGCTTAACATAAATTCATCCTTACAAATGGGCACATTTCCTAAATCCCTAAAGACTGCTGTTATAAAACCACTTCTCAAAAAGAATAACTTAGACACATCTATATTAAGCAACTATAGGCCGATTTCAAACCTACCGTTCATTGGCAAAATCATTGAAAAAATAGTTTTTAATCAATTGACATCTTTTTTAACACTTAACAATTGCCTTGACAATTTTCAGTCAGGTTTCCGGACCCACCATAGCACAGAAACAGTTCTTGCTAAAGTCACAAGTGACATCCGGTTAAATATAGATGCAGGCAAGGCATCCATTTTAGTATTATTAGATCTTAGTGCAGCTTTCGACACTGTTGACCATTATATATTGCTTCATCGATTGGAACAT